ATGACCCAGACCCCACCATCTCATGATTGTATGTGTGTGGAGTGATGCCATGTAGGTCAGTCTATGTGAGTCAGTTCGTTATCAGACTTCCGCTGCATAAATGCTCATCCTATATTGGTTGATCTTTGGTTCTGCCCATACTCATTGAAGTATGTAACAGCGTGTGTAGCCGAAGCAAGGAAGGGCGCCTGTGCACCCTAGGTGTAACTTAGAGGTAGGGCGAGGAAGACAGTGATCAGAACCTGTGAGGAGAGAGACAGTGAAGGAGTGTGGGAAGCTTACCTTGACTTACTCGTTGGGCGCTGGTGATACTGGAGCTTCTGTTCACACCAAGAGGCTGAAGAAAGGCAGGCGCCAACCTCCATACCCGGCATTGGTGCTGGATGTTGGGTGTCCATAGCTGGTACCTGCAGAGAGACCTCCTCAGCGTATTAAGCGAAAGAATTGCACGCTGAGATGGCCAGTCGGTGGGGGAAGGTCTTGTAGGTGAAGAGCCGTTTCAGTTGTATTCATGATTATTAATGAATGCAGCGGGTGACCAGCGGAGAAGGGTACTCTCTGTAGTTCTTCTTTGTTTTCCCTTTTTTTTTTTTTTCGAGTTATGGGTGTCATCCTTGCACAAGTGCCATGCCAATCTTCTTTGTATCATCCATTTTTAAGGGATGTCTGGAACAACACTCTCCGTAGTTTCCACCGTGAGTCCAAACACATTCCACAAGCGGCAAGGGCCGCACAGGATTTTTTGGGCCTAGGATAGGATTCAAGAAACGCCTGGTACTCTCGAGAAGTCGTTACCCCTTCAGGACTAGTTTTCGGGGTCCGGGTGAAACGAGTGACCGGTCCTTTGAATTTATGAAGGTACCGGTTCTACAAGCGATAGTTGTGGGTCCTTCGCAAAACATTGATTCCTTGGTGTGCCAGTACCCCAACTGGGGCCTTCCAGATGCAGCACCTAACAAGGTGATGAAGATGGTGCCCACCATAGCCAGGTAGGTACCTCGCCACTCTCCTCCTTAGTGCCCTTCTCCCTCCTCCTCCTACCAGTAGAGCTCCACCATAGCCAAGGTGGAAGCTCCCGGCTTCTTCCTCCCAGCAGCGCTGTAGTACCCAGCGCTACTCCAGCCAGTGCTCCAGCAGCGTGTCGCCAAACTTGCACACTGAAGAATGAGGCCGGGCTCTTCCCTCGGCCTCTTGATATAGCGCCTACTTGCCTCCTGGGCGGTGACTTCCAGGCCGCTCGGCCTCCCAAGCAACCGGTACCTCCTCCCTTTCGGAGGGAAACATCATTGCAGACTCTGATATTGCCCGTACAGGCTCTAGTTTCAGACTGGATGGACTGATACCGGCTTAGACCTAGCCTACCGCTACTGGGCCTCTAAAAATGCCAACTTTGTCTTCTTCTGCTCGGCCTCGAGTACCCGGCACATCTACTGCTACTAGGTGCGGTACCGGCCTACCTGCTACTTTAGTGTTTTTCCACTGCTCTAAGTGACGTGGGCCCCCTGGCTCTGCTACTTGAGTGTTTTCCCTGCGTCAACCCTCAATATCACGGCCACAGGTAAGTACCGGCCCTACGGGCCTCCCAAACAAGCAAGTACCCGTGCGGGTCACACACACACACACACTCATGCTGACAAGCACTCATACAGGCATGCAGGTCAACAAGCGCACACACATACAGACTTAGAAACTCAGCAGAATGCGGGAATCTCAGCAAGGCGTCCATTCCATCTACAGAACTTCAGAAATCAGCAGTGTTCTCAGTCTGTGTTATGGCGGGTCATTACAGAAATCAGAAGGGACCTGGTGGCCGTTCAACAGGGCTGTGTGGCGTCTGCAGGCAGCTGTCAAACGCATTGATGGCAGTGCCCGCTGGTTCCTGGTTCCTGGTACCAGCGGTGCCGGAATTCTTTGAACCCACTGACGCGGAGGCCAAGCCCAAAAAAAAAAGAAAAGGAATAAGGGCGTCGTTAGACACTCCTAAAGGAAACCTAAATCTTTTAGGACGAATCCTAAAAAAAATATATGGGTGTTGTAGTCGCGGTTAGACTCGTCCTAAAAGATATTATTTTAGGAAGAATCCTGAAGGCTTTCCCGCAGGCAGATTCATATTTCCATACGCAGCCACGCCACCAATGTCTGACTGGGTCGCACTCATGTCCGTGGTACACATGACGAACGAGGGAGGCCCTGCGTGGCCCGGTTCTGAAAAGCGCGGGAGGCACGGAATTTGAAATTTTGAATTTCGAACGTCGTCGCCAGGGCCTGCAGAATGGCGCGCCGCCACGGAGAACGTCATATACATTCATCGCCAGCCCATCGCCAGCATCTCGTGTCTGTGCGCAAAGCCCTTCGTGAAGGTGTCGTCTTGCGGCTGTTGATGAACGAGCGGAGCGAGTGTGTATTGCGACCGCGACTGTTTCTCTGACGCGTGGACAGGGAGTGTGGTCGTTGTCGGTGATGGTGTGCTGGCGATGGACGTTCTTGGCACGTTCCGTGGCCTCTCTGCAAAGGAGCTCGACGCCATTACTATGGCCGTCACTGCCATGGTGTTTGACGAGGAGCAGAACCGCACGAGCACTGTCGGTGACTCGCGTCACAGATTGCGCCTGCTGCGCACACTCGCTCGACGTGTTCTAGAGGCGCCTGACGGGGCGATGTCCTCTGGCGCCATTCCTCGTGAAAGCCCTCGATGGTAGATCAAGAGGAAGACGGGGGAAACGTGAGGGATTTGATGATTGCGGACGAATGCACCATCGACCGACTACTATGACCGCAAGCAGAAGTTCTTTGTGCAGGCTCAAGTGGTCGTGGATCTAGACGTGCGCGTTCTGGACATTTTCATGGGGTATCCAGGTAGTGCGCACGAAGTCCAAGTCCTTCATGAATCACATCTTTGGAGGCGCGTCGTCGCAGGAGAGTCGTCCGACGCTCCGCGGAAGGTTTTTCCACGTGGTGTGGGGACTACGGGTTATCTTCTCGGCGACAACGGTTACCCAATCTTGCCATGGATAGTCCAACCATACAGAGGAATCGATCAGCCTGTGGATGAAGAGCGTTTTGACACGAAGCAGAAGGTGGCGTGTGGGTGTGTGGAACGCGCTTTCAATCGGCTGAAGGGCATGTGGAGGTTGTTTGTGCGCACCCACAAAAGAACCTGGACACACTGGCGCAGCAGTTCGTCGTTGTTTGCACACTCTGCAATATCCTTCTCGACGTCGGTATCGAATTTCGCAAGAACGTGCTATGGGACGTGGACGCCAATGGTGTCCGCAGCCGTGTGGATCTGAGGATGCAGAAGCGCGGGCGACGAAGTCCTCCCTTGTGTCCCGAAGGGTCTAAGGAAGAAGGCAAGGCTCTGCAGGATGCCCTTCGTGATCGGATGTCCTTTTTGTAGTGTGGTGGTGTTAGGGGTGGTCATTGTTGGGTTGGCCAGCGTCGGCCGCAACCTTTCTTTTGTTTTACGTTCACTTAATGTAATGTGACCTTTTTGTGCACTTGGAGTGTTGTTGCATCTGAGGAGCTTTGGTGATGACATCCTTCCGTAGAAGGTGATCGATATCGTCATCGATGGTGTGACACGGTGTTCGTGTGGTCGCATAGTCGTATCTGGCTCACGTAACACTTTTTTAGCGTGGTCAGTGCACTCTTCAACGAGGCTGCTGTCCTTTTTTTTTTTAATGGACAAAACAGAGCTCATTAATGCCCTTTTGGTCATCTCATTTTGTCTCTCCCCGTTTCCATTTTTTCCTTTGTCGAAACTCATGACGATTACAACATGATGATTGTTTTTTACGCATCTTCTGTGTTTAAGAGAGGGGGGGGGCGGGGGGGGTGAAGGTGCGAGAGTGCACGTTTCATTGCTTGTGTTGTTCATTTTGAATATTGCGAGGAAGCCATCGTCCACCGGTGTTGGATGTTTGTCGAGATTAGAAGAAAACATGCACTCAATATGTACGTCCGCGCACACACGTGTGAACAAGTCACACGCACATAAACACACACACACACACACACACACACACACACACACACACACACACACACACACACACACACACACACACACACATGAGCACACACAGACACAGACACAGACACATGCGCGCATGATGACTACACAAAAAAGATGACATTGACACTTTCGCAATGCGCGAGACAATTAAACCACAAAAATTACAATGACACGTGTCCCCATTCTTCCGTGTTGTGAATCCTTCTCGTTCACAACAATCCAAGCCTATTAACCGCTAAGCAATCCACTATTGCAAAGATGAAGGAACCATCGACCGCCCAGGTACATGAACACCTGGCGAGAAACACAAGCACGTCAACGACCATAGAAGGATCGAACACAGACAAAAAGGCCAAAAAAAAAACGTCATCCATCGTTTCCACAAGCGGTTATCGGGTAGCTGAAAATTCAGGAATGAAAATTATGAAGTGAGAGTTTTGGGCAATCTGAAAATCCTGAATGGTCCTGAAGTGGTGAAAGGTACGAAGACCTTGAAAACCATCTGTTTAGGCAGGCTGCATCCTGAAGTGGTGAAGGGTGTCCTGAGGTGGTCAAGTGAGAGTTTTTGGCAGTCTGAAAATCCTGAATGGTCCTGAAGTGGTGAAAGGTCCGAAGACTATGAAAACCACCCTTCACCACTTGAGGATGCAGCCTGCCTAAACAGGTGGTTTTCAGGGTCTTCGGAGCTTTCACCACTTCAGGACCATTCAGGATTTTCATACCTGAATGGTCCTGAAGTGGTGAAAGGTCCGAAGACCCTGAAAACCACCTGTTTAGGCAGGCTGCATCCTGAAGTGGTGAAGGGTGTCCTGAAGTGGTGATGAAAAATACGACTGTTGTTAACCTTCTCTCATCGTTTCACCATGGTCGCCGCCGCGTCTTGGCGCTACCGCTACACTACGACGATGGACGACCAACGCGCTTGGTTTCGAACGTCCACCCGCTCCACCATCAACTTGGTGTCCATCGGCTTAGGCATTATGCTTGTAACCCCATGTCGTCGTCTTCCCCGCACCCGCCATGTCACTAGCCTTCGTCATCCATATCATCGTTGACATTCGGCCCCGTCCCCAACCACTCACTTCGTTTGGCTTCGCCCGGGCTTGCGAGACCGCCGTCGACATTGAACTTCACCCCGCAGGATGCCCATTCCAACACGTAAGTTGGACGATCAACGAGGTTGACGATCATTTTCCCCAGCTGATCCATCACACCATTCGTTGACGACAGCACGTGGCACTTGACATCGAAGCCGTTGTGCATGGACGCGACAAGTGTGGGCTTCGCGACAAGATTCGCGAAGTACGACGCTTCGTAGTGGGAGTGGTTGTTCCCTACCATGCGCATTATCCACATGCACGCAGAGACAACGATTCTAAACGCATCAGCGATGCAGGTCAGGCGAACCCACAATATGACCCCGCCGTCAGCATCCTGAGCAATCTCCGCCTATGCGCATCCCCGCAAACCACAACGGCAAATTCATCCTGAGATCGAGCGTGGTGTGCACGGCCGCAGAGCTGATGACTTTCGCCCAATCTTCAACGTGCCACATCGCCCTCGCAATGTCCGTGGTGATGTTCTTGACAATGTACACTTCCAAGAGAGTGTATCGGCACGCTCACTGTCCTAACTTGAAGATCCAACCATTCAACACGCGGAGGGCGACATTCTCCGTCCTTCGTCCGCGGGCTAGTGCTTCGCTGAGTTGCACTGCGTCCGTTATCCTTGTCTGTGCCACAGCTGACCATGCCTTTCGGTGGATTTCCAACCTGAGTCTGCTGGCGACAACTGCGAAGTGCTCCCACGTCTTGTGTATCGCTTCGTACAACAACTTTCCGACAGTCCAAAACTGTTTGTCATCGACCCACAACAGCGTTGTCACCTCCCGCTTCCTCATCAACCCCATCCTCTTGAGTCTCTTCAACAAGGGCTCATCATCGTCGCCGGTAGGGGTCTTGTCCGCCATCACGCCCCGGCGATGACGATCTTCGTCTTCCCCGATGCGCGCCTCGATTCCCACTCCCCCGGACGTCCCCATGACCACGTCCGCAGCGACTTGCGCCTTCTGCTAACGTTCGGCCACGTCAATGGCAGCCTGCAAGGTCCCCATACGTGGGGGCCCTGAAGCAGCAACGACGCCCCGTCCCTGCTGT